ACTCCACACCCTGCTGGAGAAGCTCAGAGATCCTGTTCCCCTTTTATTTGAGGAGCTCTTTTGGAGGACACAAAATGATTACATCACTCTGGACAAAACTGCTCTAGAGGCTGGCGGGATGGCTGTGCAGGGCGCGCTGCGCTTCCTTCTGACCTTCGATTTTGACGAGACTATCGCGGATGAAAACAGTGACTGACTCGATAGTGCAGGAGAGCCTGCGCACCACCTACAGTGAGGGCTACAACGAATACATGCAGCGGGTCAAGTACCTGGGCGAGCAGGGCGTGTGGCCCGGACCTGCGTGCCCTCTATGAGCCCCCCCCACCACCCACCCACCCAGGCATGGGCGACCTGCTGCAATTTGTGGCCAAGCAGGGAGCCCACTTCGAAGTGATTCTCATCTGGGATGCCAACACCTTCAGAGCGCTCTGCCACCTGGGCCTGTTCCGCTGCATCCTCAGCAGCCTGTCAGGGTCCGACGCACGGGGGCTGCTGGCGCTGCGGCCCTTCCACTCGCACAGCCGCGCGCGGTGCCCCACCAACATGTGCAAGCACAAGGTGCTCAGCGACTCCCTGCGCGTGCGGGTCCAAGACGGCGCGCACTTCGAGTGCCTTTTCTACGTGGGCGACGGCGCCAATGACTTCCTTCCCATGGGACTGCTGGCCAACAGCGACGTGGCCCTCCCGCGCCGCGGCTATCTCATGCACCGCCTTATCCTGGAGGCGCGGAAGGCCGCGCCCAGCTCGTTTCGCCCACCCTGGTGCCTTGGGAGACAGCCCACGACGTGCGCCTCGCTTCTGCAGCAAGTGCTGAAGGCATGCTGAGATGGCTGCCTGCCAAGGAGTGGGGAAGGGAGATTGGGAAAGACAATCTAGTTTTATAACTTCCTTTCCCTTTCGCGTTGGTATGTCCCTCTGGGAATTTCTAGAATTCTCCGTCCAATCAGGGGCTAAAGGAGGGAGTCCAGAGCCATCCGAACTATCTATGCAGTTAAAACAGCTCAGCTGCCTCCCTCAGATCCACAGCAAGCAGTTAAAAATTCTGGAGTGTGGCTCAACCCGGGTGATGCGCATACCTGGGAAGGCAGCAGCGTTTCTAAAAGCTCGCCCTCTGAACTGGGAGAAAGAGATTCCCTTGCAGATGAGAGAACTTTAACTGCTGCCCGGGTGTAACTTCCCCTCTCCAAGGCTTAGGTCAAGGAGAAATCGTCCCGCATTGGATTCCCCGCAGAAAGAAAGCTTTCCACCGACAGCCCCAGGCCTAGATCTCGCTTCACCTACGGTGATCCCACCCTACATCCCTTTTCTTGCCTCCCTTCCCCTGCCCATCCAGCCAGCAACCCCAAAGGAAGAAAAGCCAGATGGAACAGTCGCCTCCTAGTGGTGGAACGAGGTACCACACTGTCGGGCTTGGGCGGGACCAGCCAGGAAGCTCGCAGAGGTGCCTCAGTGTCTTCTATCCCAGCCTCCTCTATGCAGCAAGACCAGGAACTTAACCAAAGTCACTTCCGTAGACTGGGCCCTCTTGGGCTCCCTCCTCTCATATGGAACAGAAAGCCCTGATGTTTTAAAGCAGAGCCAGCGAAATCCAAGCCCATCCTCTTTGGTGTTCTAGAGCTATTAAAACCGGATGAAGGGGGAAAAAACACAAAAGGGGGACCCTTGGGCTGATGCTCTAACCACTGAACCAAACCATCCAGGGCAAATTCTCACTTTTATAGATAATGTATTTCTTCTTGGCACCTATATAGAATATAATCTTTTTGTATTATGGGCTGAGTCACCCCTTTATATCTCCCAAGGTTAGATATAAAACATGGCCATTTAACTAATCTATATTTATAAAAGCCAAGCGCCTGGAACGACCAGTGGCTATGCTGTGCACTGTAGCAGCCAACTGGCCAGATCAGAGCCCCAATTGCCCCCCCACACACAACTTCCCCCGGCCCCTCCCCCCATTGGCCTGTCCCCAATCGGCCCCCACCAGAGCACAAATTCATGCACTGATCCTCTAGTCATTAAAGAAAAAATCTATTTTAGCTGTAAGAATAAGAATGGCTATTTTATTCTTTCTCTAGTTCCTATTTCTTTTTCCTCCTTAACTGATTTCCAAATATTCAACCATAATTTTGTTACATTTTGCTTTATTATTCTAACAACATTAGATATTCTCTAGACTGCAGCTTTCAAGCTCCCCACAGAAGGGTAATGTTGGTTTATATCTGAGAATAATAAAAATGACAAACCAGAATCACATTTATTTGGTCTTGCTATGGAACAGAACATAGTAACTACACCTAAGAAGATGGAGTAAGAAATTGGGATTTGGGGGCTGAATAAAAAAGTTTACTCTGCCCAGCCAGTGTGGCTCAGTTGTTGAGTATCAACCCATGAACCAGAGGTCACCAGCTTGATTCCCTACCAGGGTACATACCCAGGTTGAGGGCTTGATCCCCAGTAGAGGTGTGCAGGAGGCAGCCAATGGCTGTTTCTCTCTCATTGATGTTTCTATCTCTCTATCCCTCTCCCTCCCTCTCTCTCTAAAATCAATAAAAACAGTTTTTTTAAAAAGATTGGGGGTAGGGGAAGGTCTATTCCTCCAAGCAATGTGTAAGTACAGCATCAAAAGTGCACGGAACCCTGGCACAGTTTGAGCATCATCCCAATGCACCAAGGTTCCAATGTGGATCCCCGGTCAGAGAGCTTACAGAAGGCATCCAATCGATATTTCTCTCTCACATCGATGTTTCTCTCTCTCCCTCTCTCTAAATCAATAAAAACATATCCTTGGGTGAGGATTAAATAAAAATGTACACAGAGCCCTGGCCAGGTAGCTCTGTTGGTTAGAGTGTCATCCTGATACGCCAAAGTTGCCAGTTTGATCCCCTGGTCAGGGCACATAGAAGCAGCAACCAATGAATGCCTCAGAATTGTACCCTTAAAAACGTTTAAAATGATAAATTGTAAGTTATGAGTATTTTACCACAATAAGTTTGCTAAGTAGCTTCACATTCCTAAACCAGTAAAAGATTATGTTTTGATGGTCTGAACATTTTCATTTAAATTTTTTAAATGTCCTATATAAACGAGCAAAATACTCATTTTTCAATTTGCTTTTAACTTAAAAGAAAGATCAACCTTCTTTTACAGGAAGCCTAACAATTTTTCAAATCGAGAGAATTCCAATTTAAATAGTTAGGAAGGGGAGTGAAAGAAGACAAGAAATTACAAAACAAAACACACAAAAAAACCTTGTTTAGGTGTTTCTTCCTCCTTTTTAGTCTCCTCATCATCTAAGCTGGGACTGTCCCGGGAAGAGCTGTCCTGTTGGCTGGAGCTTTTCAATAGTACAGGATCAATTTGTGCTTTCAGGAGTGCAAGAGTCTCAGCCAACTCGTTTCGATTTCTAAACAGGGGAAAAAATAAGGCAACATAAAAATCTTTCTTCTATTCTAAAGAATTTTCAGAATAATACGTATTAGAAATTAAAATTTAAAAACAAAAACACTTTAAGAACAACCAAATCACTAGTACAAGCTAAACTGAATTAACTTTGAATTTTAAAATTAAGTATTAGAAATGAAAACATATTAAAATACACTAGTTTCCAAAAAATAATCTTAAGACTATTCTCTGTATTTATTAGAATGGCAATGCAAATCTCTGGCTGAAAAGAACAGCTAGGAAGAAATTAGGCAAAAATCAAAGTCTGATAATTTTTTAAAGTACTATGCAATACAAAAATAAATGTAAAACTTGCTTGAAGAAGCTTCTTTTAATAGAATAATTCAAGTTCTTGATTCATTTGAAAAAAAGACCTATTTTCCACCTACAGAGAGAATAACATTTGATATTGTTACAAAATTATGATCCAAGACTTTCTGAGTAATTATGGCAAAAAGTCAGCTGTAATAACACAGTTCAAAAACCTAAGAATTTGGGTTACTGATGTTGTTTTGTCAATTACAGTTTGCAGCTACAGGAAGGGAATTCATTTTGAATCAAAGATACAGGAAAATATCAAATAAATATGATTTTAACCTATATATTTTCTACTTTTACTATCAAAACCAGAGATCTGATATGCTCAATTTAAATGCTATGTTCAAACAAGAAACTTTAGATGAATATTTTTCCTGCTCAGATAAACACTATGTAACAGTGAAGATAAGGAAACCCTGGGCTAAGAGTTGGGACACTTAGTTCTATTTCTGCCACCAAGTTAACTAATCAGCACAACGAGCTTCCTATCTGTGTTCTCAAAGGCCTCTGTATGCAAATCTAAATCTATGTACAGACAGTCCTCACATTATGTTGCACTCAACGTTTCGTGGTTATGTTGCCATCTCCCATTTATTTATATTAAAAAAAAGGTTCCGTCATTTCGATGTATGTACATATGTGCTTTATGTTTATTATTATTTATTTACCACAAGTAAGGTCAGGAATTGTTATCTTTTTTTAATTTTTTTTTACTGTTTCACTTCGTTACTGCTATGTATGTGCTCCATGTGAATGACGTAGGTGCTTATGTGGGTGGGTTCCGACTTATGGTGAAAATCGCGTTACTTTGTGCTGTAGGAACAGATCTCCGACGTAAACCGAGGACCTACAGTGATTAGTATTAAGATGAAATTACTTGTTTTCTTATTTGTCATGACATGCCCTCTATCCTCCTATCCCTTCAACCTCCATTCCAGCTAACCTCTACTCCTTGAGAGCAATGACACTGCTTCATGAAGCAGGAGTTAAAAAATGTTTAATCATATATAATAAAAGCCTAATATGCTAAGTGTCCAGTCATCCATTCAACCAATCAAAGCATAATATACTAATGATATGCTAAGGCCACACAACCGCTTGTTATGACTTGCACTGACTACCAGGGAGCAGACAGTCGACCGGTCGACCAGTTGCTATGACATGTACTGACCCCCAGGGGGCAGACGCTCCTACCAGTAGGTTAGCTTGCTGCTGGTGTCCAGCTGATCAGGACTGAGCGAGATGGGCCAGACATGTCCTGGAGCCCTCCCGTGGTCCCTCTCCAGCTGGCCAACCTCCCACATCCCTATCCGGCCCAGATCGTGCACTGGTGGGGTCCCTCGGCCTGGCATGTGCCCTTTAACAATCTGGGATCCTTTGGGGGATGTCAGAGAGCTGGTTTTGGCCTGATCCCACAGGCCAGGCCGAGGGTCCCCACTGGTGCATGAATTCGTGCACTGGGCCTCTAGTAACGGAATAAAATCCCTGTTCCAAAACTATACAGCTGTGTGCCCTAGACAGCTCATCTATCTTCCACTAGGCCTCAGCTTCCTTACCTATAAAAGACTGTATTCTCTCAAGTATTATTAAATTGGCCTCTTAAAAAAGTAATAAAATTGAAGTGATGAATATATTTCAGAAATTAATATGGCAACCATTCTGTCATTGTGCATGTATTATAGATATCATATGACCATATCCAATTAAATGAACAGTTTAGAATTTTAATTCTCTAATAGTAGAAGGGCAGATTAGATGCTCTTTAAAGATCTTGTCTGGTACTGCCTTCACTTTACAAAAAGGAAAATTAAAAGCTAAAGACACTAAATAAATTTATTTTTGGCAAAGTTCCTATCTCTTAACATCATTAAGCCAACCGGCTTCTAACCTAAGGCTCTATCCACTTAATGTTATTACCTCTCATATTTCATTGAGAATTCCTATTACTTTTTGAGGTCACACCGGGAACTGAAGAATCTACTGAAGTTTGTTACTGTACCTATTTAAAACACTTCCAACATTAGAAGAGACCCAATATTGCTAGAAAATCCATGCCAATTATTTTCTCTATTCTAAACAGCAAAGGAATTTAGCAGAAAAATTTAGTTTTCTGTACTTTCATTAAGGCCTAAAGTGGTGATGAAATACTTGTAACAAATATTATTATTCATCCATGGCAATTTTCACTTGAATATTAATTGGAACAACTGTATAATGGCTAGAGCTTAAATATTTGTGTTTTTGAAACCTATTGCAACACTTGCTTAAACCATATAAAACTGCAATAACTATGTATGGTACCAGCTGGGAAATATTGAGGGAAACTATGAAAAGTACATGACTGTCTGACCTGGACAGGGTTGCTCAATGGTTAAGCAAAAGGTGTACCAAAAGGTGGCAAATTCGATTCTAGGTCAAGGGCAAGTACCTTGGTTTCAGGCTCTCAACCAGTGGATGTATCTCACACTGATGACTCTCTCTGTCTCTCCCTCCCCCCCGCTCCCACTCTCTGAAAAGCAATGGGAAAAATATCCTCAAGTGAGAATTAACAAAAACAACAATAAAAAAAAACACCAAGCTGTACACCTGAAAAAAGTAACGAAATTGCAAAAATATTTTTACAAAATTGCCATTTTTATAGGTTAAAAATCATAATCATATGGTTTAATGAATTTAACTACTTTTACTCTTTTGTAAGTAACTTACTAAATTTTGTTTAAACTTAAAATATAATTATCAGTTAATACTTCCTACCTATCTACCTCATATATACTTATGTTATAAATATTACAACAGACAGAAATGGAAATTGCTATTTAATAAAAGTTTTAAAACTGTGGTGATGCTATGGTATTACAATTTTTAAAAAAGACTATTCTTTCAAGTAGTTTTATGTTCACAGCAAAATTGCGAAGAAGGTTCAGAGATTTCCCACATACTCCCTTTTATACGAGTAGAAATACAATGTAAGTTTATTCATTTAATAAAATAAGGAAACAACAATGTGTTAATCAGGGGTTTAGAATTTGGTTTTAAATACATTTTTATTGATTTCAAAGAGGTAGGGAGAGGGAGAGAGAGATAGAAACATCAATGATGAGAGAGAATCATTGATTGGTTGCCTTCTGCACAGCCCACACTGGGAACTGAGCCCACAACCCAGGCATGTGCCCTGACCGGGAATGGAACCATAGCCTCCTGATTCATAGGTTGACCCGCAACCACTGAGCCACACAGGCTGGGCTAGAATTTGGCTTTAAATAATACTACATAGCTTGGAAAAGTTGTCTGGCACATTGCAGATAGAAATTCATATGTTTATAGGTGTTCTTCAAAAAGGTTTACAGAAATCCAAGATGGTGGCCGACAGGACAGCAGAGAGTGCGAGTGAGAGAGAAAGGGGAGTGTGTGGGTGTGTGTGCGTGTGTGGGTGTGTGTGCATGTGTGCCTGAGGGGCAGTTATATCCCACAGGGCTTCTGGGGACTGGCGGACAGGTTCCCCTAGCCGGGCAGACACTACCACAGGTGAAATCTCTCCGGGGAGGCCGGGCCATCTTCAAGGGGAGAACGACCTCACCTCCCCTCGGGGAGACCTCAGACTCCACCGGACCCGACAGCCACACCAGCCAGGGACCAGCTGCCTCTGCTGCGAACCCACAAACACTGAGACTCCAGCCTCCCGGCTGCAGGCGCCCCTAAACAGTTTGTCCAGGGCCAGAGAAAACGGTGGGCGAATACACGGACAGGTCCAGCGCCTTCTCACAGAGCAGATAGAAGAAACAGCTAAATCGAATAGCATCCACCTGGAATTGGCGAATTAAACACAGCTGAAGAGACAATCGTGGCTGGAAGAGTCAGAGGTCGCATGGAGAGAGTGGGATTGGGGACCTGGGCTGGACGGAGAAACGCGCACAGCCGGGAACAGAGTGTCAGAGGGAGACTACGCTGCACCAAGTCCGCGTACATTGTGGAGACGTGTAGCGCTTGACTGTGGAAGGCGGTCCATAGGGCTGCTGGCAGTGGGGGACTCCAGAAAGGCAGCCTTAAGTTCTTCACCGGCCGCACAGTTGCAGGGGGGAGAGACAAAGCAGCGGTGACTATGGGGTTAAAAGGGTGTTGGTCATCCAGATATCAAGCTATATTACCAAGCCATGGTTCTCAAAACTGCCTGGTAATGGCACAAGAACAGACATATAGACAAATGAAAGAGAACAGAGAACCCAGAAATAGACCCAAGCCATTATGCTCAATTAATATTTACAAAGGAGGCAAGCGCATACAACGGAACAAGACAATCTCTTCAATAAATGGTGCTGGGAAATTGTCAGATACAGGCAAAGAAAAATGAAACTAGACCAACTTACATCTTACTCAAAAATAAACTCAAAATGGATAAAGGAGTTAAATAAGATAGGAAACCATAAAATCTTAAAAGAATCCATAGGCAGCAAAATATCAGACAAAAGAGCCTCAGGTGGCTCGCAAGCCGCAGTTTTCTGATCACTGTCATAGGGAAATGGAAACTAAGGAGAACATAAACAAATGGGACTACATCAAAATAAAAAGCTTCTGCACAGCAAAAGAAACTATCAACAAAACAACAAGAAAGCTCACTTCATGGGAGAACATATTTACCAATGTTAT